ATCCCCCACCCCCCCCCCCCCCCCCAAAAAAAACAAGATTTTTGCTGCATATATTTGCAAATATACGTGGAAGCCACGCTGTCTCGTCAAGACCCCTCTGTGAAGTGAGATCCCCAACTCTGATCTATGAAAGCTCCTACTACATTTGGGCATATATAGCAATAAATAAATTGAGGACGGGTATGCCTGTTAGACTAGAGTGAGGGACTACACTTTCACAGAGGGGCCTTGACTAGGCAGTGTGGCTTCCATGTATATTTGCAATTATAAGAGACTGAAATCATTTATCTTGAGCAAATTGTTGAAACAGTGTAGAGTTTGTTTTGCTGGTATGAGCACTGGGTAATTTCTGTAATGTATGGCTTCCATGAGCAACACGACTAAATATCTTCAACTTCAGAGTTTATAAAAGGAATCCTGTGGCATGGACTAAACGCAGCAGCACTGATGTCCTGGCAAATATCCGATGATATACATATTATACTGGAGAGGTATATGTAAGCTATATGTTGTATTACCTACCTTGCGCAAGTCCCCTCCCAAGCAGAACTCCATAGCCAGAAGAGGAAGGTCATTGGGTGCCAGTTTTTGTAAACCTTCTGGCACCTCGCGAGCAGAAACCACATTCTTATGATTAAGTCTAGGACAAGAAGGATAATATATCAATCTATAAAACTAGAAATACAGATAAAAAGGACAGGAGACACAAACATGTGCAAGAGATAAAAACTAAATGAAAACATGGAAACAGGAAAGCAGAAGGTAAGTATTTGCCAAACATATACAGTATGTCAATACTAGCCCTACTTGTAGCTTTGTCAGCTTGAACTCCATTGTATTAAGCCTGCCTCACACATACGTAAGTTTTTTTAATATAAATTATATACCTACCCCCAACATTTATGAACTGCGGCTGTACAACAACCATGTCTTTGTTATGTTCTTGTAAGACGGTACAGAGCCACATCTACTGCAAGGAAATCTTGTAATTAGCAGGGATGAGCTCAGGTTCAGACTGATATAAAAGGTCAATGAGGTCACAGCATCCAACCCTTTGCAAACTTGCAGCTGAAGACGGGAAATTCCCTGGCCGCGACTGACTGAGCGGCAGTGGAATGAGCTCACCCCTAATCAGAGTATCCAAAAAATACAAGACGCTGATTTAACCTCCTATGAGTTCATCCAAAACTCAAATGAGTTGTATTTTGATATTGCGTTTTATTTCTATGTTTCCGTTCAATGTTTGCATCATGCCTACTTCAAGTAAAACGCTAGGATGAGAAATATCAGCAAGTCATGCACGCACACACCAAGTGTAAGGGAAGAGATAAAGAAGATAATATCTCACTTTTTCATAATCTGAATTTCTAAGCACCATCTCTCCTTGTTCTTTGGGCTCAGCTCCTGCCGGCATTGTTTGATGGCCACTTCCTCCCCGTTTTCCTGAGTACGAAAAGTAGAAAAGAAATCAAATATGGGTGAGAGTAGAAGAGATGGCCACCAGAGTAGTAGATGATGAGCAGAGGAAGAGCAACTAGGAGAAAGTGAGATGTAAAAGTATCGGAGCAGATGGGCAAAAAAGTTAGATCAGTGGATGAGCACAGGGCAAAAAGTAGAGAAGGAGAAGCCGAGCACAGAAGTAGAGAAGGAGAAGCCGAGCACAGAAGTAGAGAAGGAGGAGCCGAGCACAGAAGTAAAGGAGAAGCCGAGCACAGAAGTAGAGAAGGAGAAGCCGAGCACAGAAGTAGAGAAGGAGAAGCCGAGCACAGAAGAAGAGAAGGAGAAGCAGAGCACAGAAGTAGAGAAGGAGAAGCCGAGCACAGATGTAGAGAAGTAGAAGCAGAGCACAGAAGTAGAGAAGGAGAAGCCGAGCACAGAAGTAGAGAAGGAGGAGCCGAGCACAGAAGTGGAGAAGGAGATGGAGGAGGAGGAGATGGACGACGGAGGAGGAGATGGACGACGGAGGAGGAGACGGCCGACGGAGGAGGAGGAGGAGACGGCCGACGGCCGACGGAGGAGGAGACGCCCGACGGAGGAGGAGACGGACGACGAGACGGACGCCGGACGACGAGACGGACGACGGAGGAGGAGACGGACGGAGGAGGAGACGGACGAGGAGGAGACGGCCGACGGAGGAGGAGGAGGAGACGGCCGACGGCCGACGGAGGAGGAGACGCCCGACGGAGGAGGAGACGGACGACGAGACGGACGCCGGACGACGAGACGGACGACGGAGGAGGAGACGGACGGAGGAGGAGACGGACGAGGAGGAGACGGCCGACGGAGGAGGAGGAGGAGACGGCCGACGGCCGACGGAGGAGGAGACGCCCGACGGAGGAGGAGACGGACGACGAGACGGACGCCGGACGACGAGACGGACGACGGAGGAGGAGACGGACGGAGGAGGAGACGGACGAGGAGGAGACGGCCGACGGAGGAGGAGGAGGAGACGGCCGACGGCCGACGGAGGAGGAGACGCCCGACGGAGGAGGAGACGGACGACGAGACGGACGCCGGACGACGAGACGGACGACGGAGGAGGAGACGGACGGAGGAGGAGACGGACGAGGAGGAGACGGCCGACGGAGGAGGAGGAGGAGACGGCCGACGGCCGACGGAGGAGGAGACGCCCGACGGAGGAGGAGACGGACGACGAGACGGACGCCGGACGACGAGACGGACGACGGAGGAGGAGACGGACGGAGGAGGAGACGGACGAGGAGGAGACGGCCGACGGAGGAGGAGGAGGAGACGGCCGACGGCCGACGGAGGAGGAGACGCCCGACGGAGGAGGAGACGGACGACGAGACGGACGCCGGACGACGAGACGGACGACGGAGGAGGAGACGGACGGAGGAGGAGACGGACGAGGAGGAGACGGCCGACGGAGGAGGAGGAGGAGACGGCCGACGGCCGACGGAGGAGGAGACGCCCGACGGAGGAGGAGACGGACGACGAGACGGACGCCGGACGACGAGACGGACGACGGAGGAGGAGACGGACGGAGGAGGAGACGGACGAGGAGGAGACGGCCGACGGAGGAGGAGGAGGAGACGGCCGACGGCCGACGGAGGAGGAGACGCCCGACGGAGGAGGAGACGGACGACGAGACGGACGCCGGACGACGAGACGGACGACGGAGGAGGAGACGGACGGAGGAGGAGACGGACGAGGAGGAGACGGCCGACGGAGGAGGAGGAGGAGACGGCCGACGGCCGACGGAGGAGGAGACGCCCGACGGAGGAGGAGACGGACGACGAGACGGACGCCGGACGACGAGACGGACGACGGAGGAGGAGACGGACGGAGGAGGAGACGGACGAGGAGGAGACGGCCGACGGAGGAGGAGGAGGAGACGGCCGACGGCCGACGGAGGAGGAGACGCCCGACGGAGGAGGAGACGGACGACGAGACGGACGCCGGACGACGAGACGGACGACGGAGGAGGAGACGGACGGAGGAGGAGACGGACGAGGAGGAGACGGCCGACGGAGGAGGAGGAGGAGACGGCCGACGGCCGACGGAGGAGGAGACGCCCGACGGAGGAGGAGACGGACGACGAGACGGACGCCGGACGACGAGACGGACGACGGAGGAGGAGACGGACGGAGGAGGAGACGGACGAGGAGGAGACGGCCGACGGAGGAGGAGGAGGAGACGGCCGACGGCCGACGGAGGAGGAGACGCCCGACGGAGGAGGAGACGGACGACGAGACGGACGCCGGACGACGAGACGGACGACGGAGGAGGAGACGGACGGAGGAGGAGACGGACGAGGAGGAGACGGCCGACGGAGGAGGAGGAGGAGACGGCCGACGGCCGACGGAGGAGGAGACGCCCGACGGAGGAGGAGACGGACGACGGAGGAGGAGGAGGAGATGGACGAAGGAGGAGGAGGAGGAGATGGACGACGGAGGAGGAGAAGATAAACAGAATGGGAAAAGAAGAGAAGAAACAAGAGATGGAAGAGAGAAACAGACAGCAAGAGCAGAGTAGGAGATCAGTAATGGGTATAAGGTTTGAGGCCAGGCTGTGCGGGGAAGGGTGAGGCTATGTGCAGAGAATGCGTGGTATACAGTATGGGAGCTGGAAAGGTTGGGCCACCGATCTTCGCTCATTGACTTCCATGAACAAGCATGTAAAGCCTCTTACACAAAGGAATCATCATAAGACTATTTATGTGTATTTGGGACGCGCACCGCGTTCAGTAAAAGACCGCGCACAGTTAACAAGAGAGTCACAATGTTGTACGCATTTCTTTGGAAGGTTCCTCCTTACCCTATTATGCCAGCGAAGGACATAACCAAACCCCCCGGTCCCCAGACGCTCCTTCATCTCCCAGGGTCCGCAGCTCTGTGCGTGTGAAGGGGGAGGCCAGCTGGTCCTGTGCTGGGACGCATCCTGAAAATAAAATGATAACGGCGTCAGTTCTTGCAGCAGGGAAACAATATCAGCAGACATTACATGCAAAATAAAACGAGGCTCCACCTGGAAATGAACATGAACATGGCATAGCGACACAGGTCAGAGATACCACTCAGTTCCTGGGAAGCAAATCTCCATGTTTCCATCTACATCGGGGTGGGCAATGAATATGGAATTCAGGATCCATTCTGTCCAATCCATTTGTATTTAGATCATGGCTGGCCAATTCCTAGGAGCCAGGTCGCCAATGCTCCTTAACCATTTTTCAGTATTCGGCGCTGCGGTACTTTGACTGACGTTTATTCCGTCATGCGACGCTGTACTGAAATTAATTTTATACCATTTTTTGGGGACAGATAGATCTTTCTTTTGGTGGGATTTAATCACCACTGGGGTTTGTTTTTTTTTTACTGTATACGGTAGTAAAAAAAAAGTACCGAAATTTTTGGAAAAAAAAACTGTTCTCCCTACGTTATGTTATAAAACATTTATTATTACCCAATTTTTTGGTAAAATATAAAAGACGGGGTGACGTCAGGTAAATAGACACCAAACATGTCAAGCTTTAAAATTGCGCGCACCCGTTAAATCGCAAAAAAACTACCATACTCAAAATTGACCATAGCCGACGCTTTAAAAGCTTTTACCGCTCATCAGTTTAGTGTTATCAGTGATTGATGACCCTACAATTATTGCTCTCATTCCGACGTTCGCGGCGATATGTAACATGTGCCGGCGCAATGGATGTAATCGGCGTTTTCGCATGTAGGCGGGCTTGACGCATGTTTGCGTGTGCATGTGGGGGTGGGGGACTTGTATTTTTTAATTGCTTTGATATGTGATTTTTTATTTTTTTTGTAACAAATTTTTTTAAACCTTTTTATTTTTCACTGAACTTTATTGCTATCACATAGGGAGCAAACAAGCTCCCTATGTGATAGCCAATTGGCAGTGACAGGTCCTCTTTATGGAGACATCAGGGGTCTTTAAGACCCGTAATGTCACCTAGGGACCCCCAGAGAAGCTGATGAAGCACCGATCTGCTTCACCAGCTTCTCTCCGGTTTCTGTACCGAAGAGTGACACTGAATGCAGTCAGTGATGTAATAAACATCACTGCCTGCATTCAGATAGGGAGAGGAGATCATACGGAGCTCGAGTACTGAGCTCAGTTTGATCTCCGGCCGCAGAGCTGGTCCCGGGCTCACACCGGGCACAGCGGGATCGCCAGCAGCGGCGGCGACGAAGGGGGGCGCAAACCCGACCACATATTACAAGCGATTCGGGCGTCTCTACAGACGCCCGTACAAAACACAAAAATTCCCCAGCCCCAACCTGCCAGCCAGCCTGCAACCAAACAAGTAGCCCTGTCAACAGTATGCGTTAAAATCAGAGGTTTTAGTTGCACAAACTTTTGGCCAAAAATATGTAGAAGCCACACGGCCGCGCCAAGGCACCTCTGCAAAGTGTGGTCCTAACTCTATGTATCCGAGTCTCCAAGTGTGAGCATATTAATGAAGTCGATAGATTGCATGCAGGTGTACCTGGAGGTAGCCTACTCCTCCTAATAAGGTGCAGGGACGCACTGGGGGCCCAGCAACTAAAAATGCACGCTGGGACTCCAGTGCATCCCCCTAACCAAAAATAGTCAAACTAGAAAAAAGTGGTACATGCATGAATCCATAACTAGCCTTTATAGCAGGGAGCACAATGGGAAGGCTTACAACAATACAAAACACAAAAATTCCCCAGCCCCAACCTGCCAGCCAGCCTGCAACCAAACAAGTAGCCCTGTCAACAGTGCTCCCTGCTATAAAGGCTATCTACAGACGCCCGAACGCTTGTATGTAAACAGCCATTGCTGCTATCGGCGGGCACCAGCGGAACGGGATAGGACGTCTAAAGACGTCCACCCGCCCCCAAGAAGCCGCTGTCCGGCCGTTTAATTACAACGGCCAGCAGCGGGTAGTTAAAGACCACAGCGGGCGCCCAACTTTTGAAGTTTTCAGTAGTTGTCAATGGAGCCGGCTCCTAAAGAGTTTTGTTAGGAGGAGGCAGCTCCATTGACAACAACCTCAAAAGTTGGGCGCGGCTGTGGTTTTTAAAGAGCATTGGCGACCCGGCTCCTGTGAATTGTCCAGCCATGATCTAAATACAAATAACAAAGGGAACAAAAGACAGTTTGATACAAGAGAGTGAAGTCAGAGCAATAAATCGGGAATGATCTCCCCCTTATCTACAGACAACCGATAACTGATTGATTACTAACGTGTTGTTCACTATTCATCTTCCTCAATAAAAGTACTTCATAGGCTGGACATACACTCATCTATTTTTCTCCTTCAACCTGCGGGCTGAACAAGAAAAAACAGACCCGATTCCTCCATCAATACATAGGAGTGTGTCGATCGAGGCATCCCGCTGTTTGCAATGCATTCTGATGGCAACCGCCGTCAGGATACCCGACCAGAGCCGGTAGCTCATTGGCTGCCGCCTCTGATCGAACATTGATTTTCCACCAGGGTCCTTCGATCAGCTGATCGAGGGATGCCGCCCGAATGAGTGCCGACAGCGGCACCCACTGTGCGAATTTTAGCCAGTTCCTCAAAAACTGTCCGAAATCCAAACAGTGTATGGGCACTAGGGATGCACCGATACCGGTTTTTCGGTATTGAGTACCAATATTTTTTTTCCGGTACTCGCTGATAACAAAAGTCCCATTAAGGAAGCCGAGCGGCGTGTAATGACTCGATTAGCCGAGTCATTACCAATTAGCCGGGAAGCCAGCTCCATGCTCCCTTGTCACCAGGTGACGAGGGAGCATGGAGCCGGCTTTCTGGCCAATCAGGAAGCCAAGGGGCAGGTAATGACTCGCTGACCATCTTCCTGATTGGCCAGCTTCATTACACACTGCCCGGCTTGCCGATTGGCCGGGAAACCGTCTCCATGCTCCCTCGTCACCAAGTGACCAAGTGACAAAGGGAGCATGAAGCCGGCTTCCTGGCCAATCAGGAAGCCATGCAGCGTGTAATGACTCACCACCTATCTTCCTGATACCGGAAGCTCCAGTATCGGAGCATTTGGGCGAGTACTGGTCCAAATACTCGGTATCGGTGCATCCCTACTGGGCACCTTAAGGGATTGTGTAATAAGACCGTTCAATATGTAACAAATATTTGCAAATTGTAGCAACTCAAGAAAACAATTTAGATTCAGGCCACGTTCACACCAAGGCGGTGGAGGATCAGCGCGGTTTCCGTGCTGATTTTAAAAGGGGCTGTTTTGGGAGTTTTTAACGGCTGATACGCAATTAAAAACACTCCAAACCGCGCGGTTCCATTGAAAGTTCTATGGAAACCGCACTGCGCGGCAAGAAAGGGCCAGGGAGCAATTTGGGCCGGGGGGGGGCGGTTCGGATCACACGGCCGCATGAACGGTCCCCATAGCAATGCTTGCGATTGTTCATGTCGGCAGATCCGCCCCTTAAGGCCTGTTCACACCATAGTGCACCTCCCGGCCGTCGTGCGTAGCAGGGTAATGCGCACTACTGTGGTTTGTGTTGTGGTGAAAACATTACTGCTGCGCTACATTGGCTCGTCACACTGTATGGAATGGCAGTGCCAGGCAACGCACGGTGGCTGGGAGGTGCAATCGGGTGGTAATGCGCACGAGACGCACTGTGCACTGGCGTGTGCTAATCGCACGGTATCGGAACGCAATGCTATGGTGTGAGCGGGCCCTGCTTCCCTCGCTGTACAAGTCAATGTAAATTCATAAGCAGCTTGAAGCAGGTCAGACGCAGGTCAAAAGAAAGTCAACTGCGGGTCAAAACGCACCCGATCAATGAACTGTGAATGATCTCAGAAGCAGCACGCTCACCCACAAGGGCCCCGAGCCTACTGAACTGAACTCCAGGATGGATTAAGATGATGAACCCTTGGAGAGGGGCTACTCCGGCACTGCGAGGGTTAAATGCTCGTTTTGGTCTAGGGGCAAAAATAAAGAAGCTATACCCACCTGATCCTCAGTCCCGCCTGGCTGCTAGACTGGTCCATGCAACCTCTTCTCCCACTGAGCTCCAGCGGTCTAAGGACCTCTGATGTCATTATATCTAATTCAGGTCTATTAGAGGTGAGGACGCCGAGGGACATACCATTGCCATAGTGGGGGTGGGTGAGAGCTGAGTGCTGAACGCAGATCGGGCGAGCATATCTGTGTTTGTGCTCCTAGAACCAAGCAAGGTGGAAACCTTTGCCAAGTTGGGGGGGGGGGGGTTTAGCCCCAAAGCAAGGGGTCACCTTACTAAATCCTGGAGTTCTCCTTTAAATTAAAGGGGAACTCCAGGGAACTAGAGAGGACGCCGGTACATACGTGTAAAGTGTGAATCACACATCAGAGCCATGCCATATAAGTCAGGGATTTCTGAAAGCTGCACAGTAATGTTTAGTGCGCCCTCTGCTTATAGTGCCCGTCCATTCCAAGCTGTGCCACCCAAGGCGACTTTCATGTACCCACCAGCCACGGGTACCAGGCACAATATGGTGTCCACTTCTCCTCTGTGGTCATCCAGGGTGCACGCCGCTCTGCTTTTTTCTTCAATTACAATGAAATTTATTAGAAAAGCACAACATGGCTCCCATTACATCCCAGGTGCCCAACCTACAGCCCGGGCCATCGGCACTTACTCTGCAGACTGCAGTATGTCCTTATTTACCCCCCTGGGTGCGGGTGCTCAGGCCCGGGAAGGATAAATGTCCCCTATGGACGGGTTCTAGCAGTGAAATGTTGTTTTTTCTTTCACGTTACCACCAAAGAGGCGGGAGGGACGCAGTGATGTCATTGACCTTATATGGCTACTTGCCCGTACTTGGTAAATGACATTCACCTAATATGACCAGGTGGCGGTAAAAGAATGCCCCGGCCCGCAGACGCCTGGGGGAGAGGGGAATGCTCACAGCACAACACAGGATCCCTTCCATAATAAAAAGCCGCCTGTCATTGTGTTTGAACGTAACGCATGTTCATAACGCAGCAGCAGCGTGACCGCGTTCCTCCGCTCCTATATGTGTTTATCATCCTGCGCTCGTATTGAGTCGCCGGGATCTGTGTCGGGTTTATTTTAGGCTCAATGGGGATCAGCCGCGTTCTATAAATAGAATCTACAAGACAAGCAGAGCCTATGGATTGACGGGAACAAAAGGCCAAACCGAAAGAATAACATTGAACAGGTTCTTCCCCTTCCCGGAATTGGGGAGAACCTCGCCCTCGGGTTCTAAACAAAGCAATTCAAAGTGTGAGCCAATGAAATGACCAAAAATCTGCCCCCTCTCCCCACCCCGCTGCTCATACCTCAGTCTGGAGGAGTATTTGCATGCAGACCGCCCTAGGTAATGCTCACAGGTGATGCTGAGTCTCCATGATTGACAGAACTGAAATCCAATGAATGAAAGGGGCGGGGCCAAAGGCAGTCAGGCTGGGGAGGAAAGTGCCAGATGATGCTGGATGTCCTCCAACCAGGAAATGTGGCGGGCTCTGTCTGACTTGCTGCAGCTTCTAATGTACATGGTGAGAAGCTCCCAGTGTGTAGTGACATCAGAGGAAGCCTTTTCAGTCCAGGAGAGGAGTCGGTAGAACTGCGCAGCACTGAAGGGGAGGCCGGAGGTCAGATATAACTCCCCCTCAGGTCTGGATGACTGTGGATAAATCCGGCTCCAGAATGTGGGCACAGCACTCAGAGGAATCTGAAGACTCCCAACAGCTCGAATGACACACGACCATTATTGGTATGTCTGTCTTCAGACACACATATTATACACATACACAAAGTATATAGACCAGGGATAGGCAACACTAGCACTCAAGCTGTGTTCACACTACAAGTCCCAGCATTCCTCAGTCTCTGGCACTTATGCCTGTGGCTGTCAGAGTCTTGCAATGCATCATGGGACTTGTAGTTCCACAACAGCCAGAGTGCTGAGGTTGCCTACCTGTGATATAAACACATACACACAGATGATATAGACACCCTCACATGTAGTATATACACACGTACATGCATGATATACAGACACACATAATACATGAATGACACAGACAAGCACCCAGTCATAGCAGGGCAGCCCCCCATTAACACTCATGTGGAGGGGAGACCACACGTCGTACCTGGTGTGTCATGTGCGGGGCTCGGCCTGGACTCTCAGCAGCCTCCGGTGTACCGTACAGCCCCTCCCCCGTTTTCCTCTACCGGACACAATGCCTGTAATGTGTACAGTGTGAGCTCTGCCCGCACTTCCGCATTCACTTCCTGGTCTGACGTCATACGAGGGGCGGGGCTAGCGTTAAAGGAGCCCCGAGGAGGGATGAGGCGAAGTGCTGATCTTCGGGGGTGGGCGGGGCTTTGGGCGGCTGCTACAGCTGGAAAGGGTATGCTGCTGTCATCCTCATCCTGACCGCTGTGTGATGAGTCACTGAGCCAGAGGAGGGCCGTGAGGGCTCCTATACAGTCCTGGTGTGTTACTGCAAACCATTATCATTGTTTTTATTATTTTTTTATAATTATTATTTACCGGTATGTTATTTTTTATTTTGAATGCAGCAGAACAGTAAAAAAAAAAAAAAAGACCTTCGCCATTTTTAACAACGCATCGCACCACGGCGCGTGTTCAGACGCACTGTTATAGGCCGTCCTGCATCCAAAGAAATGCAATGCAAAGCAGGTGAAATGCAACCGCCGATGCAGGCAAACAACATATGTTCATGTGAGACCACTAGTGTGAGACCACTAGAGGGAGCTGAGGAGCATAGGGGATAAGTATTTATTATGGCCACTAGATGGCGCTGAGGAGCATAGGGAATAAGTATGTATTATGGCCACTAGATGGCGCTGAGGAGCATAGGGAATAAGTATGTATTATGGCCACTAGATGGCGCTGAGGAGCATAGGGAATAAGTATGTATTATGGCCACTAGATGGCGCTGAGGAGCATAGGGAATAAGTATGTATTATGGCCACTAGATGGCGCTGAGGAGCATAGGGAATAAGTATGTATTATGGCCACTAGATGGCGCTGAGGAGCATAGGGAATAAGTATGTATTATGGCCACTAGATGGCGCTGAGGAGCATAGGGAATAAGTATGTATTATGGCCACTAGATGGCGCTGAGGAGCATAGGGAATAAGTATGTATTATGGCCACTAGATGGCGCTGAGGAGCATAGGGAATAAGTATGTATTATGGCCACTAGATGGCGCTGAGGAGCATAGGGAATAAGTATGTATTATGGCCACTAGATGGCGCTGAGGAGCATAGGGAATAAGTATGTATTATGGCCACTAGATGGCGCTGAGGAGCATAGGGAATAAGTATGTATTATGGCCACTAGATGGCGCTGAGGAGCATAGGGAATAAGTATGTATTATGGCCACTAGATGGCGCTGAGGAGCATAGGGAATAAGTATGTATTATGGCCACTAGATGGCGCTGAGGAGCATAGGGAATAAGTATGTATTATGGCCACTAGATGGCGCTGAGGAGCATAGGGAATAAGTATGTATTATGGCCACTAGATGGCGCTGAGGAGCATAGGGAATAAGTATGTATTATGGCCACTAGATGGCGCTGAGGAGCATAGGGAATAAGTATGTATTATGGCCACTAGATGGCGCTGAGGAGCATAGGGAATAAGTATGTATTATGGCCACTAGATGGCGCTGAGGAGCATAGGGAATAAGTATGTATTATGGCCACTAGATGGCGCTGAGGAGCATAGGGAATAAGTATGTATTATGGCCACTAGATGGCGCTGAGGAGCATAGGGAATAAGTATGTATTATGGCCACTAGATGGCGCTGAGGAGCATAGGGAATAAGTATGTATTATGGCCACTAGATGGCGCTGAGGAGCATAGGGAATAAGTATGTATTATGGCCACTAGATGGCGCTGAGGAGCATAGGGAATAAGTATGTATTATGGCCACTAGATGGCGCTGAGGAGCATAGGGAATAAGTATGTATTATGGCCACTAGATGGCGCTGAGGAGCATAGGGAATAAGTATGTATTATGGCCACTAGATGGCGCTGAGGAGCATAGGGAATAAGTATGTATTATGGCCACTAGATGGCGCTGAGGAGCATAGGGGATAAGTATTTATTATGGCCACTAGAGGGAGCTGAGGAGCAAAGGGAGTAAGTATTTATTATGACCACTAGATGGTGCTGAGGAGCATAGCGAATAAGTATTTATTATGACCACTAGGTGGAGCTGAGGAGCATAGGGGATAAATACTTCTTAGGTATGTTCCTCAGCTCCATCTAATGGCCATAATGTATCATAGGAACATTCGTTTTTTGGCACTATTAGCCCAAAACAAACATTCACAGATATTAGCAGGGGGAAGGGCCCAGATAATTGTTTATAAATAGACCCATATGCCTGAATTTAAAAAAATCTGGGTACCCTGGATCACACCTTATCTGCCGAGGAACTTCCACCATCAGTTACTGGATCTTGAAGGTTCCTGAAAGCTTGGGGGTGGTTAGTGTGAGGTCCTACCCATGATGACCCTGAGGTGCCCACCCTACTTTTTCTTTCCCCCCTCCCCCCGTTGACTGTTCTCTTTTCTCTCTCTTCTCTTTCTGTCTTAATTTTCTCAAGAGTTGCTACATTTGTTGAGTGACACCATGCGGGCCTCAGATGCCATTATATATTTCTTATGTACATGTGACCTGAGTGCAGTCCCACCATGTGGTCTTCATATGACTGCTACTTATCCTGTAACTATCTTGCTATGACTATCAAATTTAAATAAAGTTACTGGGACTTAAATAAGTTTACGGTTAGCATGAGGCCCTACCCATGACCCTGGGAAGCCCACCATAAAATCCTTCCTTCCTCCATTGACTGTTCACTTTTCACTCTCTTCCTTTTCTGCCTTAATTTCCTTGAAAGTCATTGAGTGCCGCCATGCAGGCCTCCTATGCCATTGGTACAGTATGTCCATGTGACCCATTATACGGTCTTCATATGATTGCTACTTATTACTGTAGCGCTCTTACTTCGACTTCCATTTTGGAAAATTGTTACCTTTCCAAAAATGTTGAACAGGAAAAGGAACCTGTGAGGAACATATATGGAGGCTGCCATTGCTAACTTGCTTTGGAAGGTCCATTCTCCAGGGCCAGAGTAACATAGGGGCTACTGGAGGCCTACCACTGAGAATAGGCCCGGCCAGCCTGGATCGCCTTGGTATGCCTGATGGCGATCCAAGCCATGAACACAATCAGGCAGAGGCCGGTGGCTCTCTAATCAGACATACTAGGCGGCCTAACACCTGTTCTATCATTTTTCTGTACCTCATAAGAATGCTGGACCATGTCATCTCCGGCTGATGCAGGTTTACAGGAGAATCCTACCGCACCATGCCTTAGGAAGGGACCCGGAGTGGCCCCAAAACGTTGCCATGTGAAAAGATGTGTGTGCATCAATAAAATGGTCACTTTCCGAAGATTTGACCACGGTGTGCTGGTGATATATTTTACTACTTCCGGTGACACAGTCTCAGCTGTTAGAGGCATGCTAGGCTCAGCGCGCATGCGCCCTTGTTCTATACTTTTTCTCGACCCATAACATTTCTGGACCCCGTCACTTCTAGTGCGGCCGCGTCATGCCAATCTCAGCGTCATATTCTGCTGCGTCATCCGCTGTTTTCCCGATGCCCTTTCTTCACGCGCATGCGCACCTGGAAGTGACGTGGTCGAGGAAAATGACAGGCCACTCACTAGGTGGTGCTGGAGATCCCGCTGCTGAAAACTGGGGCCAGTCCGTGGGACAAGGGGAAATTTTATGGGTTGAGAAAAATTATAGAACAAGGACCCATGCATGTTAAGCCAATAAGCCTAGAATGTCTCCAACAGCTGAGACCACGTCACCGGAAGTGGCCTAGTCCAGCATTCTTATGACCAACCGACAGCACCAGACCCATGATGCTCTTAATCTGGCCCTGCCGTACTCCAGGGGTGTCACCTTGATCCTCTCTTCAAAGCTCTGAGAGTCCGTGACCTAGAAGAGCCATGTGCACATCAGGTGATCCACCCAAGGACCTGATAAGTAATCCAACGTGTCCAATTTGGGATGGGCTGAACCTTTAATGAGGAAACCGAAAGGACATTCTGAGGGTTATTTTCCTAATGAAGTTGATCTCAGAATAAAGGAATTTACGCGGCAGAACTATTTCCAGAGAAAGCTCCCCAGGGCCCAGGGCTCCCCATGAGGTGTCAGAAGTAGCTGGCAGCAAGTAACGTGTTCTGCTCCGACCTCACCCATGACCTCAACGTTTCCACCTAAGATCATTCCCAATGCGGCTCTTGTGTGCAATTCTTTTATTTTAATAACCTTTATGGTAGAAAGTCCTCCAAGTCTTTAACAAAAGAAGAGGATGGTCACCAGGTCAACTTCCATTGGATGCCGATCAGAACTTTCTCTAACGTCTAGGAGGAACAATGATGTCACTGCAGGTGGTGTCATAAAGGAGAAGAGATACACAGCTATGTTCTCTTGTATGGTGAGATTTCCAGGGACTCTTGGTCATGTGATCAGTCATCTTCTGCCCTCCGCCCCCCCCCC